ACTAGAATTTAATATCAACAGCCCAATCAGTGTATATATATATATATCTCCATATAAGAAATGCAGTTTTTGTGTCTGTGAAATCTTATTACGTACATTTACAAGCTAGAAGATTCGAATGTAATAAAACGTCACTATTCCATCGTTTATTCGATTAATTACACTTATTGAAAGTCCAATACTATGCTTTCGTGAACAGTATTAAACAGAGGATATATATATAAAAGATTGTGAACTAGCACAACTGACGCGAGAAACCTCAGTTACGATATGTATAACTTAATAGAAAAACGAGTTATATTTCGCGACGAAAATATTTTCACATATCAGTCTGCATGTCTCATCTAATCCGGAATAATTAATAATAATTTTTTCTGTCATAGGTTTATATTCTCATATGTTTCGATATATCTGTTGAACATCATCAAACACCTGTTCGGAAAATTCGGTGGATATGGAACTCCATTCATTTGGAAAGTCTCGTTGCACAGAATGAATGAAATCCCTTACGAAACGCTTCGCTTCTGTAAAAAAAAGAACAGGCATAAGAATGTTAATAACCATCATGATCTGATAAAACAGCAAAATACATGGCGGAACGCACCATCATCAGTAGCTTTTCCCTCGTATAATACATTGAACGCCACTTTCAACAACATACGCATGTGTGGTTTTAAAATGGAATGGCCCGCCTGATACAGCGTCAATACGCTTCTAAAAACTGCCTTATTTTCCTCGAAATCTTCCTTCAACGGCAACTGCTCCACAAAAACTGGGAATATTTGGTCCAGAGGCAAATTCCAACAATTGGTGATGATGAGTCGTGCAATCGCGCCGACGATATTATCACGAGCTCCTGCATGAGTCTCTTTGCTAAGAGCGTTGGAGAGAACCGATAAAATGTCGGAGTAAAACCTATGAAAGTATTGTTAAGAAATATTCAAATATCTTAATTTCTTGAAAGATCTATGTACAGTAGTTAGATAATTTTTTAGACGATTGTTTGAAAGGATACGGAAATACAGAGTCTTTAGCGTGCAACGCAAGTTCACCAATTCCATAAATGGCATTATTGCGGACCTCATCACTTGGATCAGCCGTGAGTCTCAGTAATATGGGAAGAAGTTGAGTAACGTTGGCAGTATGTTTAAGTCCCGAGAAACATTCTGAAATGGTCCCCACAGCGAATGATCTTTGCGCTTCTGATTTGTTCTTTTTCTGAAAGGATACATTTAACTAAAGAATACAATTCTGTGACTTAGTATTGAGCCATGATTGTGCTGGGCAAAGGTAGAAACATACTAATCTGTCTAAAAGTTTAGGTAGCACATTTTGGAAGAAAATGGCGAATTCTTCTGGAGGGATTACTTTTCCTAGATTGGTCAGTACGTCACCAGCGCATTCAACTAATAATTCATCTTGTTCAGCTTCGGCCTCTACTTCATCCGCTTCCTCTTGATCCTGGCATTCTGTCTTGCCTGTAGGAAACCATAGTTTAGATATAAAGTATTACTGAAACTTTGAAAAGGTTATAAATTTGTATTGGATACTAGCCTAACATAACATCCAGGATACAATTCATTATAGCTTCTTTGTGTCCCTCTCCTATAAAAACATCGGTCTTTATTTCTTTTAGAAGTTCGGCGTAAGCGTCCAAACCACTAATCGCTACACTTCGTTCATCGTCTAATCGTATTAATTCTGATAATTTTGGTATGTATACGGAGAGAGCTTTCAACAAAGCTTCTTTTCCTTCGTTGGTATTAATTTTTGAGAAATTAATGCAAAACTGTAAAAGTCCATCAATAGCAGCTTTACGAATATCTTCTTGAGGATAATTGGACAATTTGAATGTTTCCTCGAAAGATCTTTGAAGATATGGTAAAAACGCTTCTCTGCAATAAAAGTGCCACATGTAAAATGATATAACAAACTCATCAAATTAATAATTATGTGTTTAGATGATTTACTCTGTCTGCTCCGCAATTTCCTTTAAAGCTAAAATTGCTTCCTCCTTTTCATCAATGTATACATTTTCAACACTGTAACCTACTGCGTCATCGTCATCATCTTCATTATCCGTGTTTTCAATGTCTTCTTCGCTTTCATTTTCACTTTCGTTAATGTCGTCATAAACTGGAAGAGCAGAACTCTCGTCTTCTTTATAGTGTGGCTATCAAAAATAAAATATTCTTGCAAACTGACTTTCTATTATTTTTGCTTTCTTGTTTAGAATCTACATACCACAATGCCTTCTGAGCTTTTTATACTTAATATCATATACTCAATAATTTCCGGCAAAGCGGATGCCATATCTTTCTTCAATATGGTACTAATTGACGCAAACAGACCGTAAATGGATTTTTTTAAATCTGGATCTTGTGTTTCCTTTAATAAACTAATCCCAAAATTAAGGGATTTATCGGCCAAAGGAGCAAAATTTTCATTACCAATTGTTCTTGCAAGAACCCCGAGTGTATCTGTAATTTCATAACCGGATTTAACAATAATATTAAACATCGCACAAAAGTTGAGTACCTTTAACCATACGAACCAACTGCTTGTACTTGAAGACATATGGTTTCCTCTGTTTGTTGTTCCGAAAGATAACTGTTCAAAATGGAAAGAACCCTTTCAAAGTATGGCAACATTTGCTCTTTACTAGCTAAGGCTGCTGAACCAATGGCGCTCAGCGAAAGTTCTTTAACGTGAATTGGAGTGTCAGAATTTAAAATTTCAAAAAGTCTTTCCATTAATGTTGGTAAATATGGTAAAAGACTTTCATTCAAATTCTCACAAAACATGTCTAACGCATAAAACATGCGACCGACTGATGGTGGCGCCTTTTTCTCTTGTTTAATGTGAGCACAGATTTGACCAAGGTATTCAAATAACACAGGTAGTAATTCTGAAGAGTATTTTGAAATGTCTGGTTGCAAATGTTCGGAAAACTGCCCAAGGGCAAAGAGAGCAGCATTGCGCACCACAGGAACAGAATCGGTGATTCCCTGACAGGTACAACGCAAGAAAGATTCAAGGTATTTAGTGCGGATGTATTCCGAACAACCTTCTGCTAATACAGCCATTGCAAGATACGATGCTTTTTTCGCATATACATCTGTTCCTTGAAGACTAGGTTCAATGTAATGCAGCTACAAGAATGAAAGAACAGAGTAGTAGAGTAATTCCATGCAGAAAAAGCTAGTAAAAGTGCTTGAAACTGTACCAATTGAGGAATTAATTTTTCCGGTGGTAAATTGAGTGCAAGTAAATCTAAAACTTGAGTAGCACAAGTTACAGGTGTATTGTCCTCGTTTTCAGTAAAATAAATTTCATCCTCATTGTCCTCGGGTCGTGTGGACATAAGACTGAATAACGTATCTAATAATGAAGATTACACTAGGTCATAATAGAAAATTCACCTGTGTATAAAGAGGAAAAGGACTTTATGTCCCTTGAAGCAACTTACCTATAATAGGTTCTACAAGATTATGTTTTAACATGGCTTTTTTCTTTGTCCTTGCTAACCAACCAATAGAAATTACTGCTTTAACTCTAAGAGCATTATCTAATGATTTGTTACCAGCAATTGCAAGGCACATACTAACAAGAAGTTTCACATGAGGCGTTATCACATCAATTGCGTTTTCGCATAATTCATCTATTAGTTCAAAACATTCCATAGCTTTGTCCTCATTAGAAACACTGAGGGACTGTATTGTGGTCATTACTTGAGGCATCATTTGATTATAAGCATTTACCATCTGTTACAGTAATCCTTTATTAAAGCATCTTAATTATACATGTTTAATTAAATTTTAATCACATGAGACTTACCATCTGATTATCTTGAACTAAGGGAACAAGGCTTTGCATTATTTTCAGGACGTAATATGCAACAGGATTTCCTAAATCTTGTAAACTGTTCAATGTTTGACCCAAAAGAGCTGCAATTGATGCTGCATGTCTTTGATACGCATCAGGTGCAACTTCTGTCATAATTGACAATGTGTAGGTTCCCAACTACAAGAAATTTGTGCTTCAGAGAAATAAAATACAACGTACACTTCACAAGTTTCACATATTTCTCAAATTTTCATACCTCTTTGTCAGATAAATTTTCACTAGAAATTAACTGTTGAACGAACTGTAAAAGCTCTGGCCACCCATTATTAGGTAATTCATGTTTTACAATTATTCCTACTAACTGGGCAATTGCATTTTTCACAAATTTCTCTGGTTCATTAACTAGTGCCTAGAGTACAATAAAAATTCAATGCCTTGATAAAATAAAAATATGTTTTAAAGTAATACCTCCTTACCTGTAAAATTATTGATTTAAATTCCGTGCGCACATGTTGAGGCAATTTAAGCCAATGGTTCCCTTTGCCATAACGCTTCCTAAGTAACACAGCTGCACATTGTCGTATCTAAGCATATGAGTTGCCTATTATATGAAATTTATAACTGAATTAATATATAATAAAAGTATCAACCTGAGAATTTGGTGAAGATGCAATCAACTGACACAATGCTGGTGTACTCTCTGGTTTTTTAAAAGCTTCTCTGAGTTCTGCAGTTCCCTGCAATAAATCATATATATAGAATATTTCTTCTTGCTAAATATATCATAAAACTCTCTTGTTATATAGAAGACCTTGAAGAACTACATGCTAATAAATGGGACGGATGTTCGTCCTTATTAAAAGACAGACTTAGAGCACATGACATGCATACTAATACATCAATGCTAATAAAAGAAAGGGTATAGTTGCAGGAAATATAGTATTTCATTTATTTCATAGATCCAATGCATAAACGAAAACTCAGCATCAGCTGGTACGATTAGCAACGAAGATTTAATAAAATAACCTCGACCGTATTTGAAGTGGTTATCAACTGGACTGAACACGTGTTTCGAACATCACAAAATCTGTTGCTCTTATTAACTGTCATTTGTCTAAACGTACCTGTTGTATCGTTACATTATCGGCTACAAGTAACTTCGATAGTATTTCCTCCATTATTGGTTTAATATAAGTAATAAAATACGTATTTCTTAAGAACTTCTGCACAAAGTAGCCGGTTGCCTACTGCCGCTGATCAGACCTGTTGGTGTGCATATGATGTGCAGATGTGCGTGCGCAACTAACCTTGTATAAAGGGGGAACAAATTTTCATAGAACAAATTAATTCTTCTGCAACTTATTCAAAATGTTAAAAAACAATGGTAAGGGTTAAAAAATGCTGTTTATCAGTTCAAGATGCAAATGTATTTTCATAATACTCTTGAATTTTTTTTCTAAAAGAATACATTCACGATTTCAGGCTAGAACACTTCTTTAACTGGCTGTACAAGCTTAAGTTACACAGATGGCACTGGACGCGCTACCTTATACCGACTGAGTAGGAGATTCTTATTTTCAAAAGTCGAATCCCGTTAAATTATATATTCTGCATCAATTATTAAGGTACTTAACTACAATTACGACAGTAACAACTTCTACACTACTCTGTGTAATCTCTTCAGTGATTTCGAGAGTAGTATTATAGGATTTGAACAAAAGTCCATAGTTGTTCAAATGAACAACAAAAGAGTTCAAACGTAATAACGATTATAAAGATTTTTTTGTTTCAAGTAATGCTAGGAATTTCATTTTATTTTATGGAGATCGAAATTTCAATTGATCACATTAGACGATTAACGATAGTTCATACGTCATTCGTTCCAAACAATCGCTTCCTTTTTAATAACGGTGATTTAAGACCAGGCTTTTTATCTTCGCGTCTGTGCAGTGTAAATCGCGTGAACCGTTTGTTCCGACTATGTCTAGTCCCGCAACGCGTCGACCAGTTTATTATTTTAGAGCGAACCCCTTCCTCCCGCAACTGCCCCACCCTTTCTCTTCATCTTGTTCACCCTTCGCTCTTGTTTTCTCTTTCCCACCCCCTCTCTCTCTGTCTCTCTATCTCTCTCTCTCTCGTTTCCTCTTTAACCGCGATCGCTTCACTACGATCGCGCCTTGAGATAATGCAGTCTTCCAAATTCCCCGGATCGCTACTTTAAAAATTCATGTAAGTATAAATTTGCATAAAATGATCATCGGTATTATTTCCTAATTTATTGGATCCAAACGGTTTTATAAGCTTCTGGTGACAATTCCAAAAATCACTAATCCCCTCGTTCACTTATCTTTCAGGTTAACTATCTTGCGTCACGGTTCAAGGATCATTATTTGTCTGGAACTTTGATTTGGTAGAAGTGGATTATTCAAGATTGCTACAAGTGGACGCGACTTACGTACGATGAATTAATTGAAGTTGAGGAGGAAGATTTAGCTTAGATTTTCAGGTACTAGGAATCTATTAACAATCATCTTGCGTGATTCAGACGTATTTTACATTTGAATCATTGAACAATTATTTTAGTAGTTTCTGATGTAATGATGAGTAGGTTAAACGAATATCATCCAGGATTCGTAGAATTAACGATCTAGCTCGGGAAAAGTATCGCAGAAACGCAGGCCCGGCGGAGCACAGCGGATAGCCTGTCAACGGCGTCATTGAGTGACTCCTCTTGCACCTCGTGCATATTCGTCGTCTGGTTTACGCGCGTTCCAGACAACTCGCTCGAGGGATAGCTCGTTTTCGTACAAATTTAGTACCCAGATCACGTGATCTTGATGAAAATCGACAAAGCAACCGGTTCTTAAAACAAAATAAAATATGCCTATAAACATTGGCGTTATTGATGGTATTAATTGATTGCCACTGAAAATATACGGTTGCAAAGAAATTTTACAATTCAGTAACAACGTTGATGGTGAATTACACTATTTGGATATTTAAAAACTGTCCTGTACTGCTTCATAGTTTTTCGTTTGAGCAAGCCAATGTTACACTTAAATAAATAACGTTTCATTGCATGGTGCAAGCAGGCTTAATCCGAGCGCGAAATTAATGTCGATGATTAATCTGCTTCGTGTAAGCCGACACCACATGCGATCTGCCATCTCGCGTACTGTTCTCTAATTTATTACATAAGCAATCGCGCCTTTTGATTCTGTGAACCGATTCAACGAAATTATCGGTAGATACCGCAACACCAATAGAACGGGACAAAGGTCCTTTTATATTGTATAATGTGATTTGCACTTAAGTACAACAAAACGAGTGCAAGAACCGACGATTAATTGCGTTAATAATATTTTGCGTATAATTTCTTCTTACACGAATTAAACAAATGTTTTAAATTTGTTCTACAAGTAATGATCAGCTGAGGATACGCAAAAATGCTAAAATATTTTACTCCAACATATCTTGACTCTATAAACTTTAAACTTAAAGATCGTATTCCAATTAATAATCACAGTTTTCGAATTTTTTAATCAGGATTGCAACCAGTTTAATATTGGTCTATTCAAAATGCAAAGGACTGATGCTTCTTGAATATTTCTTGAACCTTTCTAAGCGTCAACCTTGTGTCTCCTCCTTGACCGCGATAATGCGATCTGGATCGAGTGTCGCTGACTATTTCGAGACGTGACAGGATCAATTATTGGGTCGGCGTTTCCGCGAAAAGGTGCGACACGTGATCTATAGAAACGTTTCGGAAAGGAGCCCGACGCTATTTGAACACGTGACCGAATGTCCGATGGAGCTCCATATTGCTCAAATAAGATCCCGGCCAGGAAGAGCCTCCAACGAGTTCATTTTTATGACGGGGACCAGGCAACAAGCTGTTCCAATAGAAAGAACCCTGTTCCACACTAACCCGGTAGCATATCATTGACGGTGGGTATTATCTTCTTTATAACCTCCTGCCGGAGGATCTAGAGCTACCAGTGTCCTGGAACCTCGGACCTTTTTATTTCCTTTTTTCTTGAGCGCTGAAAAAATCTGAAAAGACCGAGAATGTACAGTTGTACGCTCTCAGAGTCGTAAAGCGTTATACTCATTAAAAAATTGTTGAGACAAGGAAATCTTTTTAAAGAAAATAGTGATTGGTGTTTCCGGAGATCTAGAGCAGCTCTTTGGCGTTCTCAGAGTTCAGGGTAGTAAAAATTCAGAGAGTATTTCTAATTCTTTGGAAGCTTTTAAATTCCCAAGTGTTTAAGTATCTGCTAAATGATAGGTATTTTATCTATATAGTGTAAATAATATTTTTAAGTTGCTAGACATAGAGAAAACTACTTTTTATATCTGACAGGAAGCATGATTCCGCTACATGAGATTACGCTAAGCTCCAAGCTGCTCGATGACCGAGATGAATTCGTGGAATTACTTCGTGAATGAGAAATAAGACGCGAGAAGAACTTCCGGTATCAGCAAGTTGTTTGTCGTCACCGTAGAACGATCTTGACGTCATTGAGTGTTATATTTATTTTCGTGTTGCATAAACCGCCGCGGTCCAATCGTCAGTATGAAGGGTGAAGAACGTGAACGCCATTGATGCAACAAATGTCCATTCGTTTTCTTTTTTACTAAAGAACGTTTTAATTGTACAGTATCTATTCCGCGGCTTAAATTAACAACATTCATAGTTCACTATAAATATAAATAAAACGTTTCGTCTATTCCCTTCTCGTTTTTTTACAACTTATACATTATACACGCTTTCTTTCGTATAATAGAGATCGATTCAGGATGTAGCTAGCCAAACAGCAGCATTCTCTCCGCGAGGAAATTCGTATTATATCTTCCCCATTATAAATGCCCCTCAAGAGATTAAGAGAATATTAATTAATATAGTTGACGCGATTTTCGTGTTAATTATTAGGTCATTTCGATACCATCGCAATAGGAATATCTGTAACAACTAGACTGCGAATTTCTACGTTAAAAAAGAACAACACTCAGAAAAAAATGTTTGCATTGGCAAAAGGGTGAAAACATTTTCCCTTTATTCATACGGTAATAATTTGTTCAATCGACTTATAAAATACTCTAGGAAATCAAAGAAACTGCATACAGATCCGCAGGCTAGAGGAGATTCATAGAATATTCCTAGAACAAAGCTTCTCCATTCGCATTGCACTAACCGATATTTCTTTTTTCAACGGACTCTGCTTTCCTCGCAGAAAGAAGGAACACTGGTGTGCCCGCAGTTGCTTCAGTTTCTGGTCAGACTCCGTTTCGTCTCACTGTCCCCGAAAGTCCGACACACTAGCTTTCACCATAGTACGTTCTGTCCTTCCGGATTCACAACCCTCGACACGCGCGTTCACATGCTGTACTTGATCTGATCGTAGTACATAGCCGACGACGGCGTCGTCGTTCCGTGATGGATGTTCGAGCCAGGTATGTTCGATATGCTCAGGCCGCCGAAGTTGCTCAGGTTCAGCGAGCCTAGGGAGCTCAACGAGCTCAAAGTCACCGATCCTGCGGGGTGGCCGAAGTAGGACGACGGTTTCCGGTCGATCAGTCCACCCCCGGAGCTGGTCGAGTTCGAGTTGGAACATTGCATCTTTATCCCTGGAACAAAGTAAAATGGACATCCTCTGATTAGCCTAGCGAAGTCTTCATTGTATCATCATCAAAAGATCTTCTTCCTGAAATTCCTGAAGGAGAATTTTTGTTGGAGATTGCTATTCGTTATTGTGGTTAACGTGTTTTATAATCTTGCTGAGACTACAGGTATAATTGCTAGGTGCGAAAGATTTTCCTCGTTCAATTTTTTAAAGTGGATAAAATTCTTGATATGGTCTCTACAAGCTTTTATGATTGAAAAACGACCCTGTAAACAAGTGGAGGGGTTTATTGAACTGAGAATGAAACAAATGGATACTTTATCGCTGTTTGATAAATCTTTTAGTTTTATTGTGTTTGAACGGGTTGTAAAACACGAATCGTTGACAGTAAATTTATTTGCAAACGATTTTATAGTTCATCGTTCATTCATTCTTGGTAAGGGAGTTAATGCTATCATATCCTGTTTCTTCTCTTTGCAAGCTGCGTATCATTGTAAAATCTAATTGTAATGCGAATACCGAGGAGGCTCTGCTTGAGTCAAAGTATCTGCGTTCAAGTAGCGCGTCCTTGAACTGATAAATTTTTCAGAAATTTCACCGTGGACCACACGCACGGACGCGACCCATAGAAAAAGAAGAAAAAGCAACAGAAGTATCTTACGATACGAAATAGGTCCTTGTATAGGTACGATAAATCTGAAACCCCGGCAGCTCTCGAGCAGTTCTTCTTCAAGTGACCACTTCACTCGTGTCTCGACGCCATCCTCCCTTCTCTGTCTGCCTTTCCCGCTCTAATTCGTTTTTCTGCGGCATCTTGTCGCGCCACTGGTCACTCCGTTTTCTAGCAACGTACGATTCAAATGTACAGTAACAACGTTTGCTCAATTTCACACAATTTAGACAATTCCAACAACTATAGAAATATTACCTGATGTCGCTCAATAGACACTCAGTTTGCAACGTTTGAATCACAAGTTCTAGACCCAGGTAAATGAACCAAAGATTCAAAACTCAACAGCGGAACTAAGAAATAAGAAACTACTCGTCTACTTTAATCTTCAACAGAATATAAAGCAACCCAAAAGTAATCAAGAAACGATTATTCCTTACTAGAATTGATATTCACTTTGCAGAAACCTTTTAATGAAGTACTCAGCAATTAAAGCCAACACTCTATACTTCCAAACAATAGTGACAGCCCTTATTTTCAGATCTACGCAACCCTTAACCATTAGGTCCAAAATAAGAAAATTTCGGGAAAATACGTTTATTTTCACAATGCACGTTAAGTAACTTATCATTTTAACAAAAATAAGTATTCTTGTAAAAAGATGCTAGTAATAATAATAATGACGTGAAGGCAATTATTATAGCAATATTATACTAGTGATTTCACGACTAGTCCACAGCTTCGCAGTTCACTGATATCAAAATATGTGGTTTCGAGGCGACGCTACCGGGAACTAAAGGGTTAAAAGAATACCCGCGACACCATGGAATCGTCGATCTATTACGTCGACGGATCGTCCCCATTCAAGCTGCTCTCGTTACAAGTACAATCCATAGCGTCTCCACCTCGATACACCGGCAGATTCGGGCAAGGGGATAAACGCCGCCACCCACGCGCCCTTTCCGTCCGCCATCGCCCACCCCACCATCCCCCTTTTCCGGCACTCTTCACCGGTACAAGTCAGTAAAGTGTAAACGAGATCAATCTGCAGGCGCCTCCTCGGTAGGCCCCCGGATTTTCCTCTTTCTCTTTTTCTATACAGGTTCCCGGGATGTATTTCTGGAGCGATCGCGCTCTACTCGCGACTATGGGGATCGTTGTTAGTGCGTGCGCGCGCGTGTGCACAGATATTCTCTACCGTTCCCTTTCGACGACGGTTTCGAGAACGCGCCGGCGGTTCGAAACAAAAACGAGACAAAAGGAACACAGAGAAAGAGGGAAAAAAGAATTTGCGCGAGCCGATCGCCCGGGAAACTTTCGGGATCTCGCGGAGGAGTGCGGAGGATTGTGGAGCCGTCCGGGGAGAGAATTTGACTGACAGCACTGCCATTGGGACCACACACGACGCCCTTTTCGGAACAGTCGTTGCGCACTTGTCTCTTGATCTCGTTTATCGAATCGCTAGCCGATTCTGCGTGAATTTTTAAGTAATCGACGCGCTTACAGGAAACTTCTTTGGAATTAGTGATTCTATAATGATTAATAAGTATATGGACTTTTTGACGTAGCTGAATGAGAATGGTACTTTGATGTACCTTGGATGAAGACTTAATTTGTTTTTCTTTTACTTCGGGAATTGTTAAAAGTTTAGATCTTTATGTATGAATGAAGAAAGGTTTTTAAAGAGAGAATAATTTTTAAATAGAGTAATTTTAAATAGTTTGGTTTGCGTAAACTTCACAGCGGAAATTCAATATGGCTGGCATTAAAAGGTATACAGGTCTCAGTATTTCAATTGCTTCGTTTCAATATTGATTTTGAAATTGCCAACAACTGAATGATAATATTTTTATATTTTTTAAAATAATTAGAAATATTGTAAAAAAATTCAGACAATGGAAAATTTGTTGTATGTGTTCATATGAATTGAAGGATCTTGACTATTAATATTTATCAAATTACTAACTGTATTAGATATTATTCCAATGAATATTTCATTAATATTGTAAACAGTTCTCAACGTATACTTCACTGTCATAAAACTTCTTTGGAACCGGGATCTGCGGATCAAAACTGGTTCTGCGGAGAGGTTTAATAAACGAACGGGCTAATGTTTGAGGTGGCACGGTCGATGTACTTAGATTAAAGAACCATCTTGTTTACGCCACTTGTAAATGTTTAGGCGATAAGCGATTCGAGACCTCACTTGCTAGCACGCGACTACCGGTAACCGATACAAAAAAACGTGTATTTTCGTTCCTCCTGATCATTTGTTTATCGCCCGGCGATTGTAGTATGTTGTTGCATTCATGGTGTTGGTTCATTCATAAACGAAACTACGTTACGACCTATAGTTACCAATGTTTTTACTCCAGAATTTTAATTCCTGGATTTCGAGCTTGAACGTGTTTCCATGCCTTTTCCTTTGCAAACAATCATTATTACTACCTATTACATACATTCAGCATTTAAAGATATAGAAAATAATCAAATTCTATGAAAATTTCTATCGATCCTAACTTAAAGACCATCAACATGTAAACTCACTTTAGGCATAATAAGTTTGCAACTTTAGTTTCTGCACCATTTACAAATAATGTCAGAGTTAATAAGAAGAAAATTAAATAAATGGAAATAGAAAACAGTAAGTTATTCGTTTGTTTGAAGATCGAGACAAATTGTTCGAAATTGATGGTGCGCTCGAGCGTTTTACAACGTCGGGAGGTGTTTAACGAGCATTTAATTGCCGCCCCGTGGAAACGGGGGTGGCCACGCTAAATTAATCTGACGGGGAAACGCGTCAGGGACTTCGTGTCGCGCCGCGTTACACGTGTTCAGTTACCAGTTACGAATTACGACTTCTCGCGTGGGGCGTGACAGGAATGTCACCCCGGACTAATAGGTCCTGTCAACCACGGTGATTTCGTGTCTGTCGGCTCGCGCGAAGAGTGCCCTCGTCCCTTATTATTAAACAGAAATCATGTTGACTTTCACTTGCTACAAAGGGCACCGAATGTTGTTTGATATATTTATAATCATTTCTTAAAACTTACTTTTCATCCCTTCAATGAATAATTGACATTATAAATTCACGCAACACGAAATCAAGTTAATTAATGCAAGAAAGATGAATATTGTAGTTAGAAGAATTTCAACACGAGGTACGGCCAAATGAATGTAAATCGTGTCGAGACAGTTTGTGAACGAGAATCCGCCAGTTTCGTTATCCGGCGCCTCGAAGCTCATAAACCGTCTCCGGTTTTCCAGATGGCCCCATCGAGTGTCAAGAATTGTCATTGTTGTCCTCCGTCCGGAGATGGACTCGGGAATCGCGTCGACAGATCAATGTCTGCGAATACTGCGAAACTCCAACTTCCACTAACTAATTTTTCACAAAACATACTTCAAATATTTTAAATATACTCTCAAGTTTAAAAGTTTACTCAAGTCTATTCGTGGAAGAGACAGTGTTTTAATTATTCTTATCGATTTATCAATTTAGAATAGAAACTTACTGTTTTAATACACCCATAAAAGCTCAGTCACCAGTCGTACTAAAAATTCAACTACACACAGTCAACAAAGTACTCACCGTTATCCGTTACAGGTGTCTGACAACCGCTATGCGTCGAGCTAACGTTCCCTACGGGGCTGCTGTTCCCGGTTTCCGGCATCCCTTGAATAGCAGCGTTCACGTTACCGGCGACATTGTTGACCCCAAGCCCGTAACCCGCGTAATAGTCCTGGCCAGTTGTTTGCGAAGTGGCCGCAGGATTCGACTGGCACTTGTAAGCCATCATGGCCTCGTTGTCCTTGTATGCCGTCTCTGAATGATGTTGCTGGTGATCCTTCACCGAGAATCCCTCAGCAGCTCTGTAGGTCAGTTGATCCTGGCTCCTGGGATAACCGGGCTCGCTCTTGAAAGCGACGAGCTCCCCGTTCCTGTAAACCGACGGCTCCCCGGTTTTGTAAGTGACTTCCGTCGTCTTGTAAGTCACTTCCGCGATAGGGGGTGTCTTGTAGCTCGCCTCCGGGTAAGCCCAGTCAGCGGAAACCGCGGCGCCAGGAGCGTACATCGCGTACTCCTGATAATTCTGATACTGGTTCTGGTATCCATTTGCGTACTCCATACCTCCAGGTGCCAGGTTCTCGTATCCAGGTGCCTGGACACCTACTGGTCCACTTCCGGAGAAGTACTGAGGGTACTGAGGCTTTAGAGCCTGGCATTTGCGACGGAAGCCCCGAGGTCGTCTCCGGAAACCTCCTTCCTCGAACATGTACTCCGTCGAAGGATCTATCGTCCAGTAGTGTCCTTTGCCTGGTCTGCCTAATCCTTTCGGCAGCTTAATGAAACACTCGTTCAGACTGAGATTATGACGGACGGAGTTCTTCCATCCTTGATATGTGCCCCGGAAGAATGGAAATCGTTGTTGCAGAAACGAATATATCTCCGACAACGTTAGCCTCTTTCCAGGACTTGACTGGATCGCCATCACGATTAGCGCGATGTACGAATATGGCGGTTTCTCCTGGCGACGCGCGCCCGGTTTCCTGGGCAGCTCCGTGCTGGACGGGTTGCAGATCAGCGAGTCCAGACTCTGCTCCTGATTCAAGCTGCTGGTGATCGATAGACTGGTCCTAGGGACAACCGCGGATGAATTCGGGTGGGTGATGGAGGACTGGTCCTGCAAGTGTAAGGCAGTGTCCGATTCGTTCTTCATGATGATCCTCGCGGTGGTCTCAGCGGCGCCGCGAGGTGTCGACGGAACGATCACTCTCTGGTCCATGGAGCCTGTTGTTCGTCACGCTCTTACAGACATTCTAGGACCTTGGATCCTTTAGGACTATAACTATATGCACTTCACAGGGAAAAGTGGAGTCAACGTTATTAGTCAACAGACTTCTTACAAGGAAGAAGGGTCTAATGAATCTACACAGAGTCTAGCAATTCTACGCGGTGTCCAATGAATCCACACCGAGTCCAGTAAATTTACAAGTCCAGTTAGTCTACACCGAGTCCAATGAGTCTTTTTTAAATCTAGTAAGTCCACACCAGGTCCAAGGGAAATATCCACAAAAAGATCAGGGTACTTTTAGAATCTTACGAATCGTATCACTGTTACCCGAAATTCAAAGTGTTAGCCGATTGTATGCTACTCGCGCGTATTGACCAAGGATTCGCGGGGCGGCCACGCGTTCTTGTCGTAATCACAATGACGAGGAAGCGGTGGTCGTTATTTACGTGTGCCCGATGTAAATTGTTTGCACGGTCCGGCGCACGGTGGGGTCAATTATTTAGACTTGCCGCAGTCGGCCGTGGACGTTGCGCTGATGCGCCGCTAAGTGTTTTCGGATGACTGGACCTCGGGATCGGCTCCGAGCCCGGTGGAAGCTTAACGCGTCCCGATGACGTGCGTCATGCCGTCACGACGCAGCTCTGTTTCCCCCTGATGGGTGTGGCGACCGTGTGGGTGGAAACTGAACGTTCATTGGCTGGCGCCCGATAAATGAGACTGCAGCCAGTGGTGATCGCCAATGGAGACCGTCTGGTAGAGCGGCGTCACGCCCGGGTAAGGACGGCAGGACGAAAATGAGGACACGAGATGAGGGATGATAAAGATTACATAACGTTTCTCGTTTTCATTGTTACGGATTCTTGATTGTTTTTCGGCCGGCGATCACTGGATTGAGATGTTGCGATGATGATGATATTTAGTTCATCGGGGTGCGGTCCCTTCCGTCGGATTGTTGCTTCGCGGTTTACGTCTTCTGTTTGGTTTCTAGTTTCGTGTGTTTGTTTTATGGTTGATTAGAATGCGAGGGTTATTGCTTGTTATCTTCTTGCGTGTTTTGTCGCCGGTACTCCGATACAGAATGAATAAATGTGAGGTTGGGTTTAACAGGAATTTAGAGTTGATTATTATGTTTAAGAGATGTTTAACGTTATCTGTTTTACTGATGGTACTGGTTTTGTTGTCAATGCAGTAGTTTTAACGGTGTTGATTTTGGAGCAGAATCATCAATTCATGGTTCTTGATCATAGACTATATTCCCGATTTTTGAGTATTATTTACTTCCATACACTCGTAGGATTAAATGAAACTTAAATACTTAAGCTATGTCTACAACTATACGATGAAATTTACAATTCTTTCATTTTTAAATTCAAATTATTCAATAGTACTAATTCTATTTTACAAAACATACTGTTTTAGTTTTATGGTATACACAACTACCTCTGTATCAATATTAATTCATTATGTAATTAACATAGATGCAAGATTTCTTCAAGTATCATGTTTACAGCTTCCAAACACTGCATTCTACGTTAAAGTTTACACGTTTAGAATCGCAGCACAAATCACTGCGTTTTATTATAGAACATATTCGCTGAATGAATACAATGTCGTCGGAAGCAATTACTTAGGAGCAAACGCAAGTGAGTTTCACAATTTCGGGATACTTGCCAGTAGACATGAACAAAAAAGCTCCATGAACCGATTGGTCCACCTGTTGGCCAACGAGACGTTGGGTATATGCTCCGCCCGAGAATAGAACCGCCCCTCCTTTTCGTTCTTCTCTCTGAATTTTTGCCGCATCATCGATTATCCTGAAATTAGTCCCAATTTTCGGGAAATTTTAGTCATGATACCAGCTTCTTGCTGAATATCACTCACACCGTGTTTATTTTTCTTGATCGTGCACTCTTCGAATATTTAAATCTTTGTACGCTCTCATTTTTCTAATGAAAACATTACTCACGCATTTTTAATATTTTTCCAATTTAATCGCTTGTGCTTGAACAACTGAAATAACATCATAAATAATCTATTATTTGAAATTAGATTGAAATACTTTTTTTAATAAATTTTACGCCATTTTCAATATTATAAATTCATAAAATTCACAATTTAATTACCACAATAATCCACAAATCGAGTTAAAAATAAGTTAAATACGAATTCAATTTTAGAAATAAAAATTTGTATTCATAATACTCCAAAAATTTCTCGATTCTTTAGATACTCCGAAATAATATTTCTGAGGATGCTGACGAATTAATTGAGAATAGAATCGCTATTATAATAGCTGCTTTATTAAAGGCTATAAATAAATAGGATGACGTTACTTTTTTTCCTACGAATTTTCTTCGTCTCCTTATCGCTGTGTTCTCCATCAACCGTGACCGTGTCCTAACGAACAGTCGATTAACTCGTTGATCGCAGTCAATTGAAGCGAAATGTTTACCTCTCCAAGCACGTGACACGGTGTCAATTTACAACGCCTGAAAGAATGAGAACCAAAGCTTATCGAGAGCCTCGATTTTATTATGATCGCCGAAAGACTCGATTCACGCCCTAACGTTTCTGCGTCGAGGACTTCGTCGGCAGAAATTCCGAGAAATCTTTCGGCCGAATCGAGCAACGGTTAACTATCCTTCGCTCATTTATAATTCGACGTTTTCTTATTCAACATTATCGTTCCTATAAATCACGGGAAACCGATTTTTCTTTCCTTTATTATCTGTTACACACAATCTTTTCACACACATTCTTTGTACTTAATGCGCTTTTCTGTTATATGAAGCATTTAACTTTCATTAGTAAATTTCAAGGTCTGGTAACTTAGGCAAAATAAAATTTTCGGGGCCTAACTTACAAAATATGAGTTAAATGATTTGAATAGGACATTAATGTTGAAGTAAAGACATTAGGCAGTTTATTATGCAATTTGGTTTATTTGAGCGCTGACATAGATTTAAATGTTATGTTGATAGTTGGAGAATCTAAATTTATATATTGCGAAAATACCTACCTACTTTTACAACCCCGAAATTTAGTCACAAAAAATAATTTAGTTCAGAAATTGTTCAAATATCAAATTATAACACTTCTTACGCTTCAGAGTTTCAGACAAACAAATATTCCCTTCCACTTTGAATGAAAGTACGATTATTGGAGTGGTCGCGACATTTTCATAATTTCCCTAATTAGGACACTGAAATCTTGGAATAGGGGACATTATTTAATGTCCTCCAACCTTCGTCCAGCGATATTGTCGACCGTGTGCTCTCTAGACCATGAATTCTCAAGGAGTTTGTTTGCATTACTGGGAACGATCCGACGAAAGAGAAGCGTCACGGCCATCTTGTCTTTGCCTTCGGGCTGGATCCCTGCAACGGGCGCTCCTATCTTCGCTGACTGTCGCTCAGATTTTCTCTCCACATGCTCTTGCATTCTAATCAAGAAAATTCAAGAAATTATTCGACGAAAGTGTATTTCTTCAAACAAATATTCATGTTGTCATCGTCGTAAATAGATGTTTAGCAAGATCTTTATAAAATTTGGCTTATTCGCAATCTAGAACAATCATTTATTCGTTATCCCTCAACTTCAATCACCTAATGTATTTCTATTAGTGTCCTAATAAATCCTCAATTTTACGATCAGCCACTTCAGAGGAAATTAAAAAATGGTGGCTTGGGGCTGGTCGAGAGCTTTCGAGGTCCAGGGACATTACACGGTACTCGTTGGTCTTCCAGGATACTTAGCCAGCGAACCTCGTGCCTTAAGGATTGAATTTAAAGTGGCTCGTCCTTTCTCTTAACGGACCACCCCACGGAGATAGCGGCGCCCGGCTAGTGTTTACTATTTTACTACTTACAAAGTTCCACCGTGACGTTTTCCGCGACAGCCTCGAGTGGTGCTTGTGGTAAAAAAATCAATTGGTCTAGAGACGGGGAATAAAGTCACTAGGAAAAACGTACCTTTCATATTAGTACGTTCATTTTACCAGTCTGTTCTATTTGCCTGTAAAGACAATCGGAAACAAGATAACGTTTACTACTTTCCTGCCTCCAAAATTCTAGCTTAACATTTTCTGCGACAGCCTAAAGTAGTCTTTGAAGTAAAAGAAAAATTAATTAGACCCTAGACGAGTAAGAAATTCGTGAAGAAAAACGTATCTTCCATATTAGTACTTTCGTTTTATTAGTATGTTCTATTTGTTTGCAAAGATAATTGCAATGTTTACTATTTCACTGCATTGAAAGTTCTCCCTTAACATTTTCGACGACAGCCTCGAGTGATCCTCATGATAAAAAAAATCAATTCGCTCGTAAACGAGTAAGAAAATCGCGATGAAAAACGTATCTTCCACATTTGGACGTTCGTCTTATCAGTGTTTCGTGTTTATTGCGAGTAGAAAATGATCATTATCTGCGCCGGAATGAAAATAACCCTTCCGGTGCGCGTATGGCCCCTTTGTCCTGTTCGTCTGTATACGAAAGGGACTTCTCCGGCGAATCGCGACAGTTCCCGATCGTTTTTTTAAGATAAAACGGGCGACGGGGACCACCCGAAGAAAACCCGTTTCGGTCGCACGTGTTCCCGTCGGAAAACCGCAGACCGGAACCAGACATTGCGGCCGCCCGGTCTCACGTGCGCGCTACGGACTCTCTGGTCTGTTTACATCCGCCGCGCGGTGGCCATTTTAATTCTATGCGATCCGGCCGCGGACGCCGCGAGGATTTCGGGCTTTGGATTTTTCTTTTCAACCACTTGCCGCGGAGTTTAATTGATGACTTTTCTGTTTGATCTTGCGATAGACGCAGAAGAATATACCAGACTCGTAGGAAACGATTAATCCAATCATTTTTTAAGCATATTTTCTTTAACGGCTTTCGTTCATGTCGAAGGAATGAGAAAAACATATTTAAAGATCGCAATCATCTCTTTTGGAATTTCGTATCCCAACAATTAGACGAGTTAGAAAAGAAACCCCTCTTTTGCACTGTGTTAAATGGATGATTCGATCACGTGAAAAGTTGATAAGGACAGTCATTTATTTCAGTAATACATTCCAAATGTAAGTTCTTATCGTAATATTTATTACTAATTATTAATCAGTTTTTGGAATTTAAAAGTCTTCTACGAAATGTTAAGAAAAGCTATTTTAAATGAAACTTAACGAAGAAGAAAATTCTGCAAAAATTTCGTATCTAATTTAGCTACCACAAAGAATCGGCGAATGAAACTTTAATTAAATGTCTTGACTTGTTAGATTGATCAAACTACCGAATCAACTGCGAAACTCGGTCTCTCACCTTATCGGCCATCGCGAAAACTGAACAGACATCAGCCAGAAGTGTGTTTACGGTCTTCGGTTCGCGCACCCGCTCGCGAATCTTCGTTTATCGGAGATCATCGTAGATCCGGCAAGCTCGTCGCTACCGAAGTTAGAGTCTCGCTGCTTGTGGAGAACACGTGAGGCCCTGACGGCCACCCAAGCGGCCATCAGACGCGCCGACGATATTCTTTGTTTACACGATACCGTAATTTTATACCGCT